TTGATCAAGACGGTGATGTTAAGAATCAAACTCGAGAATTTCTAGTATGAGAATAATGTTCTACTCATTTGACTACTATTTTCGGATATTAGATTTATTTTTTGATATTGAGAGTCAATCAATTCATGATAATTAATGAATTAAAAAATTTATCGCAACATCAAAATGTGCATATTATATTGCAAAAATTTATGAGGTGAAATAGTAATATTCTAATTATTTATTGGAGTGATAAAAAATATATATATATACTTTATAAATAATATTAGCTTGAAAGCTCACTGCATTTGAATAACAAACATGCTACATGACTAAATATTGTCTAATATAGAATCATAACTTGATTGGAGTATTAAAGCTAATATTATAATCAAATATTTCCATCTGAATTAATTGATGGATTTTTTTTTTTCAATTAATAAGTTAAAATCAAATTATTAAGTTTGAAATCCAAATTTAAGAATACCTTCTCACTTTTTAAAACTGGTGAATAATGTACATCATGAGATGTGTCTCAACCCGACACTGCCTATCATAAAGAGTCAAGCAGAACTGCAGAAGCTTAGTTAGCAACAGTTTTTTTGGTCTGCCCTTGTGCATGAGTAGCACGTGTCATTCATGCCGAGCTTTTGACATGTATTCCCCCAACTCTCCATAGGTGTTAAGGGGAGGGACTTTTTGGTTCACTTTACATAGTTATTATATGCTCGGGACCTTCTGACCTACTATCATATTAACCCGAGCTCAATTCCTTGAATTATAAGATCCATAAACCAATACAGAAATAAAAAGGCAACTGTATTATCCTAATTAATATACATATACCAGATAGTATTTACACTATCGATACTCAATCACCAAACTCCTATGAAAGTTAGAGCATCCATATCAATAAATTTTTAGGGGTTACTAGCGTGGATGCTCTTATGATCCTGTATTATGCGTGAAACTTTAATTTTCCCCCCCCTTTCATTTTGTATTACTTATTACTTATTGTGTTGTTTTTGTTTGTTTGTTTGTTTTTTTTTTCCTTCTTTTTCGCTGTCGTGTCTTCTTGATAAGTAGAAGTGAGGATACTAATATATACATTGTTGCAAAAATCGCGCCTAGTTGCTAGGCGCCCTAGACGGTCCCCAGACGCCTAGCGATTTTTTCAACATTGAATATATATAATATTAAAACTCATAACTAATACTAATATTAACATACTAAAACAATTCTTAATGAGTTAATCGTCTTGATCCATTGAGACCAACATTTTTACGAATCAACCCATTCATATATTTTTTTAGTACAATCAACCCATTAGTTACTCATGAAACATTAACAATAAATATTAACCTATTATTTTCGATCAGACTCGATTTCAAATTATTGTAACAAGTTGTATAGTAAATTGTCATTTCTAATTTTGAGGAATACCAATGTGTTTGATTGGGTGTAATTGAAAGTATTTTCCAATGAAATTCAAAACACTCATAAAAACTAGGAATAATGTTCAAATTGGCCACTGAACGTAACCTGAAAATGCAATTAGGCCACTGAACGAAAAAAAAAAAGTGCAATTAGGCCATTGAACACTCAAAAAATGTGCAATTAGGCCACTGAACTCTCCAAATGTATGCAATTTTACCGGATAGCAGGTTACCATCAATTTTACCAGGTTACCTGCTTACGTGGCAGCTTAGTTGTCATTTTTAATAATTTTTAAATAATTTTTAATAATTAATTTTAATAATAAATTTTATAAAAAATTGGAAAAAATAAAATAAAAAATAAAATAAAGTCGTTTTTTTTTTTTTTAAAAAAATTAATAAAAAGTTATTATTACAATTTATTAAAAATTAATTAAAATTTATTAAAAATGCCAACTCAGCTGCCACATAAGCAGATAACCTGCTAAAATTGAGGGTAACTTGCTATCAGGTGAAATTGCACATTTTTAGAGTGCTCAGTGGCCTAATTGCACTTTTTTTTCGTTCAGTGGCCTAATTGCATTTTCAGGTTACGTTCAGTGGCCAATTTGAACCTTATTCCTAAAAACTATATTGTTTGGTTAGAGAGAATTGCAATTCTCTCATTTTTTAGAATTGCAATTCATATGCCTCCTCATGAATTTCAATTCAGCAATGGGTAAAAAGGAAAAAAAAAAAAAAGTAAAAATGACACAATTACCCTTTATTATTATTATTCTTATTACATAATGATATTTTAGTATTTATATTACTTCTCTTCCATCCCCAATAATTTTATTCCTTCTTACTAAACAATATAATTTGAATTCTAATTTTATTCACACTTTATTTTTTATTACCAAATTACAATTCTTTTATCTTTTAATTTACTTTTTCCAACCAAACGCATGATAAAGGGTACAAAAGAAGGAAAAGTACTACATGTACTCTCATTTTATACTCCTTACTTTTATTCCCACACATAAAATATTGATGTAGTCACTTTTACAGCAACAAATATGAAGAAAATAATCAATCAGAGTCCGTCACGTCAGGGAGTAAATTTGATAGATCATGTAGTAGAACTTCAAAAAAAGTGGTGAGTTGGTGACCAATGAATGAGTAGGCTACGGCCTACGGTCTACATACAACTGTACAAAAGGCATTCTTTAGTTGACCAATTCTGTGCCGTTAACTTTACATTGCCACATTGGCACGTAAATCAGATATTGTAAACAAACAAAGCCCAACAACCGACCATTACATCACCTTCACATATTCTAATCACTTGCTTATTTTGATGGCTCACTTTTTTTATATTTATTCTTTTAAGTATTTATACTCGTATAAAATAAAACAAACAAATTGTAAACGCGAGTCTTTTCCTCTTTTATTTCTATGTATTATACATTGGGTAACATTTATATAAATCTCCTATATGATAATCATTTGTGTTATTTGAATTTGAATAGTATATAAATGACATTGTAGAATATGGTGTCATTGGAATTAACATTTATGAAGGTATAAGACAATAAGATATAATAAAAAGGTATGAACAACACACATTATTAGCGTGTTAATGTAATTAATTATTAACAACTGGAAACATAATTATCATTCAAAAATAATTTTAACAAATTATAATATACCATAAATTTAACTAATATACTCGATCGATTCATGTTTTACTTTTGTAAGGACAACGCTGGTAATAGTTTTGTTAGGTTATTAATATTAATATTATTATTATTTTGAGTGACGATAAAAATTCATAGTCACTATATATTTGAGTAAATTATAGATTGTAATTATAGTTGGCAAATGACTACAAATAAGTAAAGCAACATAAGTTTTTCATAGTTAACCGACTTCAACTAAGAGTCAAACTTATAATATTGTGATTAGTGGTTACCAAGTTAATATATATATTTTTTAATTAATATGGAAGAAATAAGGGGTTAGATAGGAAAGAACAACAAATTTGCAATGTTTTTTTTTTCGACTTTTATTGGATCCCAAAAAAAAAAAAAAGATGGTAAAGTTGGATGTGTTGAGGATGGTGGCCAAGTAGCAACCACATTCATTTTGTTTTAGTTTTCATTTACTTTTTTAAAATGACAAAAATCCTAGCACTTCTCAACTAGGACTCTATTAGATTGCTCTAAGAAAAAAAAATGGTCAAATATATATTTATACTTTAAAAAAAAAGTAATTACAATAAAAAGTTATAATTAAACATATCAAGTCATATGATAAGGGTTATAAGGCAACTCATTTGTTTCATAGGGCTCACAAGTATATTTTTGGGTCTCATAAACACACTCGTGAGCGCACTTTTCGTTCTTGTGAGTGCATTTCTTGGTCTCATTAGTCTATTTTTCGACTCTGAGAGCGCTTACCTACTTACCGGTCACTTTATCAATAGACTTCTCAGTTATAGTATCAATAGATATTCTGATCATCATTAATAGATACGTCAACTTCATGGTCACCGCAACAACTTTCACGTGTCATGGTCGACATGAGTGCCCAATCAAGAGATGTCACGTCAGCCGTGTTAGCTTTTGTCTTCATTATGTTCCCTTACCATTCTCTATAAATAAAGCCCTTTGCCTACTGTCATGCCCTTAGTAAACTTTCCGGTAGGGCCGGACTTTGGGCTGTGCAAGCTGGGCTACTGCACATGGTCCCAAAATTTAGAGGCACAATATTTCATTTTTACCTATCTAGTTTAGAAATAAAAATTAAAAATTTTCAATTAAATTTAAAGGACTCCATGAATAAATGGTAGGAACATGTGTTTATCATTGTATTTTAACTTGGAGGTTCAAGGTTCAAAACTTGCATGTTGCTCTAGCTTTGAACATCTCCTTATTTTTTTAATCCTTGAGCATACTATTATTGTTATAATTGTAATTTATTCCATAATATGTCTTTTGGCTTTTTCTTTGCGCATAGTAACATTTTACGACATTATTATTATTATTATTAGAAAAAATTATGGTATTAATTTTAAAGATTGTGATTTTGGTAGGATCTCATTTATTTACCCGAACAGGACTACACAAATCTAAAAACCGACCCTGCTTTCTGGTCGCACCACTCACCTTTAATATTTAATGTGCATTTCAATAGTATTAAGTATTGTATGTTGGAATTTGTATTATTCCATCGTATTAGTAAATTTCGACCTCACCCATCTTAAAAAGACTCGTAAATTTTATATTTTTTAGATTTTCACGTAAAATGCCCAGTCTCGCTATTTCTTTTGTATTACCCATCATTTTCCCAAAAAGGTTATCCCAACCACAAGAACACTCACACCTTGACTTGACAGAGCATTTGGAGGATGTAAATCACGGTGACTTAATGACTCAAGAGACATGTTCATCTGAAATAATTTGTATTATCAACGTCAATATGATACAATTAAATCAAATAATCAGTTATTTAAAAGATAACCCGTTAAAACTTAAAACGTTGATGTGACAATATTTATTCGAAATTTTGGTAGGATTAGTTATATTAGATGTAAAGAAAACAGGACGGAAGCTAGCGACACGAGGGAGGCCGCGAATAATTCGACTACGAAGTGCCTTTTTTTCCATCACAGACGGGAGAGAATGAGAGAAGTAGATTCGTAGAGGGAGAGAGAGGGGGAGAGAGAGAGAGAGAGAGAGAGAGAGATTATATATAGTCGTCTCCGCCGTATCAGAGCCGCAGCCACCCCACCATCGCCCCATTCTCTCTTTCTCTCTTGGCCGTGAAAATTATTTTGATTATTATTATTAGGAATTATTATTATTATCCTATCATTTTGTTTCCACCCCGGAACCTATACATACGTATCTGAACGCGTATACGTCGTCTGTTATCTCGTTGCCAACAGCAAGAGGATTGAACATTGATCTTTGAGTGTTCGTTATTTCGGGGAATCTATAGGATTTTTGCTTTTTTAATTGTTAGGCTTTTTGTTGAAACCCTAGCTGAGAGAGAGAGAGAGATAGGGGAGAGATGGCGCAGAATGGGCAGGGAATAGAGCCTGCTCTTTTGGATGATATAATCACTCGGTTGTTGGAGTTCAGGAACGCCAGGACTGTGCGGCAGGTTCAGCTCTCCGAGAATGAGATCCGCTCTCTCTGTAACGCTTCCCGAGAAATCTTCCTGCAGCAGCCCAATCTCTTGGAGCTCGAAGCTCCCATCAAGATCTGCGGTATATCCCAACCCACCTCCCTTCTCTTTATGACATATTTATGTCTGTGCAATGTGGTATTGTTTTTGTTTCTTCTGTAGGTGAAATTATTATGTATATAATCTGATATTTTTTTGTTTTTATTTGAATCGGTGGGGTTTCCTGTCCAATGTTTTCTATTTTGGGATACATGGGTTCAAGTTGATAGATTTAGGAAAGTTTGAGGTTTTGGAATGTGGATGTGGACCTTGAAGGCATGGCTCTTAGCTGCTGCCATATGGTGCATTTCCTGGAAGGATTATGGCTAAGGTTGTTGGTCAATTTGCTTGCAAGTGCTATATAATTTGCCCGCATAAGTGCTTTGTTCTGATGAAGAGCTGATGATGAAAACTGTTGATTGCTTGTTTGGTTTACTTGCTTGTTTAATAGATTAGATTGTAACTGGTACGGGCTGCTGGTTTGTATTAGGAAGTTCTGTATATTCTTGTAATTAAATGAAGATGAATGTGGTTTTTTTTCCCCCTTTTCGGGAGAAGTTGATACTGATGCCAGGGAATCCATAGGTATTTAATTTTGTTAAACTGAATTAATTGGTGAATTAGCCTCATTGTTTTTTGCTATGTCCAAAGGTCATAAAAAGATTGTTTTTGACCGTTCCTTAAAGCTATAACTAGATCCTGGACATGCGGACACAACTGGGGTTCAATTGAATACAGTCAGAGTAGGTTGTGCTTTTCTAATAGTCAATTTACTTCTAATGTTCGTGAATAGATCTATTGGTTTAGGAATCTTATATACCATTTTTTGGTTGCTCTTTGCATCATAATGTGTATGTGATGCTTATATACAATATATACACATATACAAAGAAGTGCATACTATGCTACTTTTTACATTTTGCCTCAAATAGTTTTCCCTTCTATAATTTGTTTGCGTTTTTGTTGTTTTCTTTTCCTCCTATCTTCAAGTCTTGTGGTGAGACTGGTCTAGTTCATTGTAGTTTTTATAATTGCAGCCTGGGCATGTCTCTAATGTTTTGGATTTTCCTCTTGCTTGGTCTGGTTTTAGGTGACATTCACGGGCAATATAGTGATCTTCTGAGGCTTTTTGAATATGGAGGATTCCCCCCTGAGGCCAATTATTTGTTCTTAGGGGACTATGTTGACCGTGGAAAACAGAGTTTGGAAACAATATGCCTTCTACTTGCATACAAAATAAAGTATCCTGAAAACTTCTTCCTTTTGAGAGGGAATCATGAATGTGCTTCAATCAACAGGATATATGGGTTCTATGATGAATGTAAGCGTCGGTTTAATGTGAGATTATGGAAAACTTTCACTGAGTGCTTCAATTGTCTTCCAGTAGCTGCTCTCATTGATGATAAAATACTGTGCATGCATGGTGGTCTTTCTCCAGATTTAACACATTTAGATCAAATTAGGACCTTACCTCGCCCAACTGATGTTCCAGACTCTGGTCTGCTCTGTGATTTACTCTGGTCAGATCCTAGTAGAGAGATTAAAGGTTGGGGAATGAATGATAGGGGTGTTTCATACACTTTTGGTCCGGATAAGGTGGCAGAATTCTTGATGCAGCATGATATGGACCTTGTTTGCCGTGCACACCAGGTATATGAACCTGTTGATTCTTACCCCCCATCCCCCACAAAAAAGTTCATTAAACCAAATGCTCTCTTCTCCAGGTTGTGGAAGATGGATATGAATTTTTTGCTGAAAGGCAGCTTGTAACAATATTTTCTGCTCCGAACTACTGTGGTGAATTTGATAATGCTGGTGCAGTGATGAGTGTTGATGAAAGTCTCATGTGCTCCTTCCAGATTCTAAGGCCAACAGATAGAAGGCCTAGGTTCATATGAAATGCAACTTGATTGGTGCTAGCTTATTCTTCTAACAGCACCAAAGGTTAGTTGTCATGATTTTTTAGCCTTCCAAATGTATCCATAATTCACTGATTCAATGTGATCATCTGCCTATTAATTTTGGAACTTCTAGCTTTTACACAATCTTTTGATCTTGGGATTTTATTAGGATTGGGTCCTTTCCACAGTAGATTTCATTATTTGAGGGTGAAGAAAGGATACTGGATACTGCCAATGGTGGGCGTGAAGAATGGAACTCCATTTCAAAATCAACTTTTATTATAAAAATGATTTACTTTGTCACAATCAAATTAGTGTAATGGAATAACCATGTCACCCTCTCAATCTCTCATTATCTAGGCAATCAGATATTCAAGATACTGTGTCAGTTACTCCACCATTCTAAATATTGATGTTTAAGTTCCCTAGTAAAGAGAGAAGATGGGGAAGAATTTAACAGAAGTGTGTATTTCACGTCTTTATTTTATTCATTAGAGAACAGTTTCTTTCCCAATTTCATATTTAAAGTTGTTAGGCTATCTACAATTCTCCACATACATACAAAAGTACACGAGAAGCAGTAGAGATGGCTTTTGAATTCACTAGCTGGGTTTTTTGGGTTGGGTCACTGCTGTTACCAGTTTTACTGTTTTCTAAGTTCTATACACATGTTTGTATCATTGCCAGAGGGCCAAATCACAGAGGTAGCCCATTTCTGGTTGGACCAGTTTGACCTTCCAAGTTCCATCTGTTCGAGGTTTAAAGCACTGCCTTTTCCATGGAGGACACTTAGTTGATGAAATCAATATTACGTGTAAAACTAATTTGTGGATATGACCTGTGTTCTTAAGATCCTTCAGTAGAATTAAGCAAAATTATTTCTAAAGTGAGTACTATATCTGGTTGTTCTAAATATCATGCATTCATGCCTAGTTCCATATTCTTCTGTATTTTTCTCATTATTTGTTCTTTTGGACATTTTGGGTGGTTGACAGTCATGACTTTATTATTACCAAGACATGTTTAGTTGAAAGCTATATTTTTTAGTACCTGAGAAGTCAAGTGAGGAATAGTTCAGCGGGCTAGAATATCTTTTAGGCCATTTGATGAAGTAATGTGTAAATTTAAATTTGAGTTATTCAAGTATACAACTAAAAGAAAAGGAAGATAATTCTTTGTAAATTAACTCCAAATCACTTGCATTTCTGTTTCTCTACTTCTCTAGCAAGTTGACATGAAAGTTTTGAAATTTTTTAGGCTCAAAACACCATGCTGCTTTTATTGGTACGCCTTACATATTAACTTTTGTTCAATAGCAATGATAATTTGATAGGTAATAAGCTGTGCATACCAAAAACATATGTTACCAAACTTATAAAATTAATTCAAATATCAAAGGGGAGAAATCTTTATAAAATTACTTTTCCTAGTTTAAATTCTCTCTAATAATTGATATGCTAAAGTGCTAAACTGACTTCTGTCATAAACATATTGTTTGATATTAGAAGATTGCAAGGCCCCACATCATATAATTCATAGTTCATTTCTACCTTATTCATTGCTTTATGAGAATTTGACCTTCAAATGGCACTGCTGGACACTTTGTTTATTTCAAACCTCTTATTTTTATATAATATAGTATAAGTTTCCTTTTGTCCTAAGAAACATATTTTCTTAAAATGCGGTACAGCCTGTACTGCATTCATGGCTACATTTATTTGCAATGTTTTCAGTTCTTTTCGGTGTTAACACACTACACAGTTGATTTTATGCAGATATAACCTATTTTGGGGAAGGACAGGGTGAGGATGCTGGTTTTCAGTAATGCACAAGCAATGGTTCTGTTGTTGATTCGGGGCGGGGGACTAAGGATTTTGTTTCTGTTTGGGGTGGATATTTCTATTACTTTTTAACTGTAGTTTGGAGGCAATTGTTCTCCGGTTAACAACCTCAAGTGACTGCCTTAAGGGCAAGAATTTTTTTTTTTTTTCTTTTAATCTTCATTTGAATGTTATTGGCAACTTATGATTTGACTTGACTGTGTAAATACATTTGGTTTTGTAAATTGCGTTACTCTAGTCTAGTTTCCTTTTTCTTTCTTTGGACCGAATCTGTGGATTATTCTTACAGTAGAATGCAGGACATCATGTGCAGACTGAAAATCATTAAAGTTCTGAGTAGACCATAATGTTACTGATCTGCTCTTCTGCATCTAGCTTAAATCAAGAACCGTTTCTGCCGACAAATAATCAAATATTTTATATGTGCGTAGGGAATGTGAGTGTGACAGCAGATGTGGTTTCTGTTCCACAATTCAAGTCTAGACTTTAGACCAAGACACATTTCATGTTCCCAATGTACACTTGTCTCCCATGGCCATCATTATTATTATTTATGCCATAAAGTATGGACGTGGAAGCTTTGCATGAAAGGGTTTCTTGCTGATTTCCTGGTGGTTTTTGCAAGTGTCTCTTCCTCTGGTGTATATATATCCTGCTACTTTTGCTCTCTTTGCCCATCAGACGGAACAATGAAGAAGGCACACAGTTTACTTCCTTTTGTTTGGCTCATACTTGTTTTAATCCTCTCTGTTGTTGTAGCTGCCAATTCGCAAGAATGGTATCGCGGCTACGACAACTCACAACTTTCACCTTCTGGCGCCCATTTGCTGCCCTCCCATGCTGGCCATTCACCTCCTTTTGGTGGGTTTAATTCCAACTATCCTCCACCTTATGGCAGTACGCCGCCTCCCTCGGGTGGTAATCAACCACCTTCCCATGGTGGCTCTCCGCCGTTCTCAGGTGGCTACCAACCGCCTTCACATGGACATCATCCACCTTCTCGTGGCGGCTCTTCGCCTCCTTCGGGTGGCAACCAACCGCCTACACATGGACATCAACCACCTTCTCATGGTGGCTCTCCACCGTCCTCAGGTGGCAACCAACCGCCTTCACATGGATATCAACCACCTTCTCGTGGCGGCTCACCGCCTCCCTCAAGTGGTAACCAACCACCTTCGCATGGATATCAACCACCTTCCCATGGTAGCTCCCCACCTCCCTTAAGTGGCAACCAACCGCCTTCACATGGACATCAACCACCTTCTCATGGCGGCTATTCGCCTCCCTCAGGTGGCAACCAACCACCTTCACATGGTGGTTCTTCGCCTCCCTCCGGTGGGTACAAACCTCCTCCAACTCGTGGGAGTCCGCGACCGCCATCTCATGGGCATCACCCTCCATCGGGTGGAAATCAGCCACCTTCACATGGACATCAACCACCTTCTCGTGGTGGCTCTCCACCTGAGAGAGGTAACCAACCACCTTCCCATGGCGGCTATTCACCTCCCTCAGGTGGCAACCAACCACCTTCACACGGTGGCTCTTCGCCTCCCTCCGGTGGGTACAAACCTCCTCCAACTCGTGGGAGCCCGCGACCGCCATCCCATGGGCATCACCCTCCATCGGGTGGAAATCAGCCACCCTCTTATGGAACTCCGCCACCTTCACATGGACATCAACCACCTTCTCGTGGTGGCTCTCCACCTGAGAGAGGTAACCAACCACCTTCCCATGGCGGCTATTCGCCTCCCTCAGGTGGCAACCAACCACCTTCACACGGTGGCTCTTCGCCTCCCTCCGGTGGGTACAAACCTCCTCCAACTCGTGGGAGCCCGCGACCGCCATCCCATGGGCATCAACCTCCATCGGGTGGAAATCAGCCACCTTCTTATGGGACTCCGCCACCTTCACATGGACATCAACCACCTTCTCGTGGTGGCTCTCCACCTGAGAGAGGTAACCAACCACCTTCCCATGGCGGCTATTCGCCTCCCTCAGGTGGCAACCAACCACCTTCACACGGTGGCTCTTCGCCTCCCTCCGGTGGGTACAAACCTCCTCCAACTCGTGGGAGCCCGCGACCGCCATCCCATGGGCATCAACCTCCATCGGGTGGAAATCAGCCACCTTCTTATGGGACTCCGCCACCTTCACATGGACATCAACCACCTTCTCATGGTGGCTCTCCACCTGAGAGAGGTAACCAACCACCTTCCCATGGTGGCTCTCCGCCTTCCCCACCCTCTTATGGGTCCAATCCTCCACCGTCGTCTCACGGCCATCCACCACCCTCCCATGGAACCAAAGGACATCAACCACCATCTCATGGAGCTTCCCCGCCTCCCTCCCACAGCTACAATCCTCCACCTCCCAAAGGACATCATCCGCCCTCCCACAGTGGCTCTCCACCACCCTCTCAATCACACAACACCCCCCCACCAACCAAAGGACATCAACATCCGCCCACTCACCACCACCATCCGCTACCATCACCGCCATCTCATAGCTATACTCCTCCTCCAAACTCTCCATCTCCGCCATCATACGGACAGTCACCACCACCCGCTCCATATTTCTCCATCGCCAACTCTCGCAACTGAAGTCTTGCTTAATCGCTACTCCTATCCTCCGTCGCAATAAGTGCAGCAGAGTGCATACACACAAACTTCATGCATATAGGGACGGATGCAGACCTGCAATGGAATACAAACAACCATATATGTGATTAATCACTAGGTATATGTATTATAAAGTTGTGATATGTGTAATGCTTGCCTTTAAATTAAGTGTTGTCCCTTTATAGTGTAAGCTAAGCTTGTCAGTTTTACCCAAGTGAAGGCCATCAAAATGTGTAACTTTACTATATGGCTGGGCAGTTCTTTGTAATAATAATCTATCAGTATATGATGAATAAATTAAATGCATGTTGTATTTAAAAAAAATAAAAAAATAAATGCATGTTCATCTCTGTATGTCTCATGCCAGGCTTCTCAACCTTTGATTCCCATTCACACAAAATTCGTGTATTCTAATCTGTTACAACTAACATAATTTGTTTTTGTTTTTTTTGTTTTTGGTTTTTTTTTAAATATATTGGGTTTGGTAAAATATTTAGCTTATCAACCAATTTTGTCTTATTTGACTACTATTAGTTGTTTGACTTAATTAGTTAAAAAATTAATATAAGTGTTTAATTAATTAGTTTTTTTAACTTCAAAATGCAAAAATTCAAAAAATCACTCAAAGTAACTTTTTCAATTAGCTTTTTGAGAAAAAAATTATACCAAATCGCTATCAGCTAACCGTTAGTAGTTAAAACAATGAAAGCATGAATAATCGGTTATGAACTTTGTAATCTAATAATATAGAAATGACACTTTCTATAAAATGTCTTGAAATTAATTCTTTTTGTATGTAATTTTTTTTTTTTTTTTTAAAAAAAATCATTAGATCCAAACTTATACATTATTAATAAATCATTTGATCTATACGTAAGTAATATTTTACATTAAAAAATAGATAAATAGTAGAAGGGATTATATTGTATATGTAGAATGGTCCTAAATCAACTTGAGATGGATCAATGGCATCCTAAATCAACTTGAGATCGATCAATGGTTAGGGATACCATCAGTCCGCTCCAAACCCTCCTCCCTTCAGGAAGCTTAGGTGTTCAATACAAATTAAAATTGAGATTTGCTTGATTAGGTACTCGACAAATTTTTAAATATTGTAGGAGTTTAGTTATCTAAGGGTACATTTTAATTGTGTTTATTTAAAACAAAAAAAAAAAACAAAAAAACAAAAAAACTCCACACACACATGGCATCAGAAATTTATTTATTATTAAAACTAGACATTTTTTGCATAATGTGAGGGATTGGAACTCAATATTAAAAGTGTAATTACATTGAAATTATTCAACAAATTAAAATGAAATACATATATTAATATACAAAGTTAAAAAAATATTATAAGTGTAAAAATCTTATATATTTTGATAAAAAGATACGTTTTAATAAATATCATAAATTAATTATTGCTATAGTATTTATGCTTAAGCGGATTCCTTGTTTAGAAGGCTTTAACCCTTTGTCATAGTATAGTTATGGAGATTTCAGATTTGTAGGAAATAATAGAAATCATTTTTTTGTAGACAAAATTGAAAGATTACGACTGTGATAAGAAAACGTTTTTAATTCAATTATGTAGAACGTAGTCTCTAAAATCCAGTATCGTAATTTCAAATCTAAATATGGGGGAAATATACACTTCATCCTAATCCCCGATAGAGAATTGAAAATATTTTCCATCTCCATCACAATGGGAAATTAGACAGAGAGGAAGACTCTAGGTCAAAAGTTAAAAACATAAGTCTTAATTTAAAAAATTAAAGAGTAAAAAATATATAATATAAACATTAGAGATATAACCTGAATTCCAGATAGATTGGGATTATGATCATCAAATGAAAATGCTATAGATTGTCAAAACCTAGCTTCGCAATTTGGCATCTCTATTCTCTCATCTCTGTAACTTCAGACAATCGGACGCGACTCCCAATCTCCCATCGCAAGCCGTAGCAGACGAAGACACGCAGTCACAGACGCCGTCGCCGACTCGCCGTGCGCCCGTGCCGTCCTCTCTCTGCCTCTGAAGCTCTGCGACGCTGCCTCTCTGTCTTCTTTGGTCGTCGCCGTCCGACCATCCCAGGCTCGCAGTCAGCCCGTCGCCAGGTAATTCCTCCAGTCTCACTTTCTCAGGCAGTGTATAAGTTTAAATTTTAAAATATAGGAGAATTTTCGTTGAGCAGTAGGGTGCAAGATATGTTGTACTTCATCTTCTTTGGAAATAAATAGTAGTTTGAGCCTGGTTATCTCTTCGTGCAGTAGATTATTTTTGTTCTTCCAGGAATTCCAACTTTGAGTATTTTTGTGGGAACTGGAATATCTAGTATGTTTGGATTCTCTATTTATCTTCTGGTTATTATATATGTAGTTTCATTTGGTTTCTTTTGGACTGTCTATCAAAGTGTGTTATGCTTTTGGATTCTTGATTTATCTATGACTTAATTCTGTATGCTGGTTGCTGGTCCATAAATAAGCATCTAAATTCTTTATGCTTGATTTATGCTGGTTTCTTTGGCTATGCTTGAAATTTTTTGAATGAATATTATAATAATTAAAGAATTAAAAAATCATAATATATTCTTTTTCTTTTCTTTTGCATCATTCAAAAAACGGGGCTGGGATTCCGTCCCGCCGTCCCCTAAAAATCCTGGCGGGGATGGGGAATTCCCCGTCCCCGCGGGGATTTTTAGGGGACGGGGAATGGGGACTTATTTCGGGGATGGGGAGGGGATCCCACTCCCTGCCCCGCCCCGTTGCAATCTCTACTTATGACGGAGTATTTATTAAGGTACATAAAATAGGCTACTTTTGTTAGTGTTGACAAACCCGCGAACCAAAGTGCAGTAAGCAGTCTTAGTTTGAGCCGGTGATTTTGATCCGCCGAAGAGGGAGAGGAAGAGGAGGAGACAGAAGAGAAAGAGAGAATCTAAGGATGTTTTTTCACATAGTGTTGGAACGGAAAATGCAACTCCACCCTCGCCACTTTGGCCGAGACCTCCGCGACAAGCTCGTATCCAAGCTCATGAAAGACGTCGAGGGAACTTGCAGGTTCTTTTCTTTCCTTATTATAAGCCCTAATTCCGCAATTCCCAATTCGAAACTCACTCTGAAATTCAATTTATCTGTTGTATTTAGTCAAAATTTAAGAACGGTGGCCTAAAGTTTTGATCTTTTACAGTGGACGACATGGTTTCATAGTAGCAATCACTGGCATCGAGAGCGTCGGAAAAGGTCTCATTCGCGACGGTACAGGGTTCGTCACTTTCCCAGTGAAGTATCAGTGTGTTGTGTTTCGGCCTTTCAAAGGGGAGATTCTAGAAGCTGTTGTTACTATGGTGAACAAGGTCAATTTTTTGTTTTGAATTAAGTCAATTAACAGCGAAATACATAATTTATGGGTTGTTTATGGAATGTTTGATGTATATGGGATTGCTGCAGATGGGCTTCTTCGCCGAAGCAGGGCCTGTACAAATTTTTGTCTCTAATCATGTGAGTTCCCTTCTCTTTACAATTTTTGAATCATAATGAGCACTTTATAGAAGCTTGCAAGGTATTATTCACTGGATATATTCAATTGGTTAAAGATTATTCATTTTTATACAACTAAAATGAACTAAATTTTGAGCATAGTCAATAAAACTAGGGATGTGTTTGATTCGAAGCTGGAGTTGGAATGATTACGGATATTGATAGGTTTTAAAAATACAAAAACAAAAAATTAAGGCAATTGATCTTAAGTGTGGCCATGAAGTGAGTAGGCAATGCAGTGAGGAAGTAGATGAACTGATGAGAGATGAGATGAGTGAGAGGAGGGCTGAATAGCCTGAATTAATGGACTAATACTTGATTTAAATTAGGAAATATGTTTTGTAATCAAATCCTATACTTGAGTTTTAAAAAGTTATATGTGTATGACTTTTATTCTCATTCCTTGTGTCTAATCCCATGAACCAAACACACCCTAGATTTTGCCTGAATTTCTGTCTCTCTAATGCCTATTATCAAGGACTTTGAAACACCTTACTCATGGAGAATGCTTCACAAGTTCATCACCATATACTCGGGTTAAGCTAAACCTGAAGTACTCCAAATCATTTTGATTGGGAAGAGTAATTTCATAGCTAGTATTTGGTAGACCAGATGCATAACCTCTAATATTGATTCAATCTTTGTCAGGATAACTGACTTTACGAATTTGTACCATTAGATTTAGTCATTTAGGAGGATTACGTTGCTATTAAAGATGAATCTGTAGGTGAATTTCTTAGACATGTAATTTGCTCAAGGAAATATAGGATGTCATTGATGGCTCAAGTGGCCAAGAGGTGGCTTCCTGACCTCAAGATTAGGAATTTATTCCCCCTCCCCTCAAATGTACTTAAAAATAATGGATATTACTATTTTTTTTAGGAACTCAATGGAATTATTTATTTTATTTTATTGTCTCCCTTAACATTTCAAGCTTTAGAATCCTCTTTTATTGGCATTCTTGCTTATGTATGTGAAACATACCATCGCATTCAGTGAATCTTGTAGCAAGGCATCTGCTTAACATTATTCACAGTATTGTAACAATCGTAGTGGAGTTGATCTTCTCCACTATAGTTTCTGTGCTTTATATGGGGAGAGGTTTAGATATGTAAAAGTCCGAACATAATTGCATATGCTATGCTGCTTTTCTTGGCTCATAAACGGGCGCTGAGTTATTGGCTTGTTGTGCAGTTAATACCAGATGACATGGAGTTTCAGTCTGGAGATGCGCCAAACTACACAACATCTGATGGATCGGTACGTGTTATGGGTCATTTCTTGACAATAATCTTTGTGTATTTTTCATAACTTTGGTTGTGTTTTAAGTATTTGGTCTGTCCTTTGTTTTCAGGTTAAAATTCAGAAAGATAGTGAAGTACGACTAAAGATCATTGGAACTCGTGTTGATGCTACAGAAATTGTATGTTCTCAAGCCCACTCTTGATTTTAACATAATAGAACTCGCTAGCTGAAATCTTCACCTGTTGTTCCTTCATTATTGTTATCAAAGTCCAAATGTTTTTTCATCTAGTTCTGGATGCACTGGATTCTTTACTCCACTAATCCTCACTTCCAACCCATATTTGTTTTTGTCTCATATAAACTCGTTTTGTTTAGTTCTTTTCGTTTAAAGTTTGATTTGGACTTAACACAATAAAATGGTTTGGTATAACAATGTGCACTAATTTGGTTACTCAATTGCTTTTCACACTTCACTCTACCCTCCCCGCAATAACTATCTGCCTTTGAAATTGACTTGTACAATGGGCATTTCTATTTGCAGTTCTGCATTGGTACAATTAAAGATGATTTCTTGGGTGTCATCAATGATCCCGGAGCAGCTGTCTGATAAACAAAGTTTCAAATTCTTTGCCATAGTTGGTGATGCTGTATTGATTTTCTTGTACGAGGATATATGGATTGGTTCTGAGCCATTTCTGATGATTAATCAACAATTCGAAGTGCTTTTCTTGCGTATTCTTGATAAATCAGCGTGTAGATTTAGATCTAGATGTAGAAGGCTCATTAGTTTGGTAAGTTTGGGCAATAAGAAGCCCCTTTGACATCTCTTCATCTGCAAATAATTCTCGACGTGAAAACACAGAGCTAGGGGATCGATCTTTGAATAGGAAAAAGAGTGGATATGCGGGGTCCCAAATGAATTGGCTTATTCAAAAAGAAAAAGTCTTGTTCTTTGGAAGATCTATCTCGTGTCTTGTACTACATGGTTCTATTGGAGTTATGTTGTTGTTTTAGAAGTTTGCTTTATTTTTTTTGTTGAGTACTACTGATTCTGTTACATGTAGTATCTGTTCATAACTAATTTCTCAACCTATTTAAGCACAAAGAGTCAATACAATTAATGATAACATATTTCTAAACTACATTTATTATTGGTTTTGGAATTTAAATCTATGGGTGAAATTTGTAGTTTGAGATTATTCTAGACAAATCTTTAAATTGTTAACTTAAAATGTGAGAATAATGTCACTTAAATGTACGCACTTATTAAATTCATAAATTGTACTTTTGTGTAATAGTATGATTGTACAATTTTATATATAATTTTTTTGTAGGCTTTATAAATTCTACCAGAATAAATTTTACCTAATATATACTTCTACAATTTTAATTAATTCTGATTCATGAATTAATAGTTTAACAAATTCAACAACAAAAAAAAAAAAAAAAAAAAAAAAAAAAAAAAAAACATATTGGGTTAAATTTGTGGAAATTTGGTTCCATATCACCAAGTCGTTGTAGTATAGTGGTTAGTATTCTCGCCTGTCACGCGGGTGACCCGGGTTCGATCCCCGGCAACGGCGTTTTTTCCCATCCCGTGTCGAATCCTTTTTGCCGATATTTAAGGAAGTATTTCGACCGTTTTCCGTAGGACGAGAGGAGGTTACTGACTTACTGCTTTACTCCTTCACAAAAATCCTGCAAGTGATTTCCATGGTAGCGCTGATCCCTTGTTGCAGAGTAACTTTTTGATGTAAATGTGGACAGTTCACGCACCCTCACGTCTCCAGCCTCTCCTCTTCACCAATCCAACTCGCTCGTCTTCTCACTCACACCGCACCACCGCCGCCGTCACTAGCCCCGCCGTCGGCGCTAACAGCCACAACTCCTTGATACAATCTCTATGCAAGAAAGGCCAGCTGAAACAAGCCCTTCATCTGCTATCGAAGGAGCCCAATCCGACGCAACGAACCTACGAGCTCCTCATCCTATCCTGCGCCGACAAAAAATCTCTACCGGACGCCCTAAATGTTCACCGCGAGCTTATCGACGATAGTTTTGGCGAAGATCCCTTTTTGGCGACTAAACTCATAAATATGTACTCAGAATTGGACTGCATCGATGACGCACGCCAGGTGTTTGATAAAATTTGCAACAGAACGATATATGTCTGGAATGCTCTCTTCCAGGCGTTATCTTTGGCTGGTCATGGCGATGAGGTCTTGGGCTTATATAGACGGATGATTGAGGTTGGCATTGCTTCTGATAGGTTTACGTATACATATGTGTTGAAGGCTTGTGTTGTTTCTGAGTCACCGGTGTCTCTGCTTCAGAATGGGAAAGAAATTCATGCTCATATTCTAAGACATGGGTATGACAATGTTGTTCATATTATGACTACCTTAGTTGATATGTATGCGAGGTTTGGCTGTGTGGACTATGCTAGCCGTGTGTTCCGTGAAATGCCTGATAAAAATGTGGTTTCTTGGAGTGCTATGATTGCGTGTTATGCCAGGAATGGCAGACCTTATGATGCATTGGAGCTTTTTCGAGAGATGATGATGCTTGAGACTAGTGGTCTGTTGCCTAATTCAGTAACGATAGTGAGCGTGCTACAAGCCTGTGGAGCGATAGCTGCACTGGAGCAAGGGAAGTTAATACATGGATATATACTTAGAAAAGGGCTCGATACAATTGTTCCTGTTACTAGTGCTCTTGTGACCATGTATGCAAGGTGTGGAAATCTTGATATGGGGCAATGCATTTTTGATCAGATGAGTAAGAGGGATGTGGTTGCTTGGAATTCCATGATTTCGAGCTATGGGATTCATGGGCGTGGAGCCAAGGCTATTGAATTGTTTGAGGAGATGGTTCGACGAGGAGTGTCCCCGACTCCGATATCATTTGTTAGCGTTTTGGGAGCTTGTAGTCACGCGGGACTTGTTGAGGAGGGGAAGGTTTTGTTTGAATCTATGGTGAAGGAACACGGGATTTACCCTAGCGTGGAGCACTATGCTTGTATGGTTGATCTTCTCGGCAGAGCCAACCGGCTGGATGAAGCAGCTAGGATCATAGAAGACATGCGAATTGAACCGGGGCCTGAAGTTTGGGGCTCTCTTCTTGGATCATGTAGGATTCATTGCAATGTGGAGCTTGCGGAGAGGGCAAGTCGAAGGCTTTTCGAGCTCGAGCCCAGGAATGCAGGGAACTATGTCCTTCTCGCTGATATTTATGCCGAAGCCGGGATGTGGGAGGAAGTAAAGAGAGTAAAGAAGCTTTTGGACTGTAGAGAGCTAGAAAAAGTTTCAGGTTGCAGCTGGATTGAAGTGAGGAGAAGAATTTTCTCTCTCACTTCAGTGGAGGAGTTTAACCCCCAAATAGAGCAGATTCATGCATTGCTGCTACAGTTATCAGCAGAAATGAAGGATTATGGTTATGTCCCGGATGTGAAAATCGTGCTGTATGATCTCGACAGGGAGGAGAAAGAACGCATTTTGTTAGGTCATAGCGAGAAATTGGCAGTTGGGTTTGGATTGATCAATAGTAGCAAAGGTGAAACCATCAGGATTGCCAAGAACCTCAGGTTGTGTGAAGACTGTCACTCTTTCACAAAGTTTATCTCCAAATATACTAACCGTGAAATTTTAGTTAGAGATATCAACCGCTTTCATCATTTCAGGGACGGGGTTTGTTCCTGCGGGGATTATTGGTAAATGGTAACCCTTTCAAATTTTAGATGTACAGTTGTTACACAGTTAAAACTTATCGAATTAAGATTAGACATCATTTGATGGTTTTACAAGCATTCTTACATGAAGAATAAAAATCTCTAAAAAAATAAAGAATAAAAATCTCGCGTAAACAGCCTTGGCCTCGTTCTCAGGCTCTCAGCACGACCTCTGAGCCATCTTGCTTCATCTTCAGAAGATTATTCTCAATATTCCTAAGCACAGGTTTGTAGCTGTAAAGGGGAAAAAATGAATATTATAAGAAACTCAGATGCATGGGGAGGGGGGCTTAGGCAATTTGACAGCAAAGGAAAAAATAGGAGATAGGACTAGAGGGGCATACATGCGTGCTAGACCATTGTATGCCTGTATTGCTTGCTGGAGTTTTACCGATAGTTGTAGAGCTTCTGCAGACAATTTTTCGGCTCTGCTCTGTTCTTTCACAAGCTGACCCTGAAGAAATAATAGCTAGCTATTTAGAAGGCCAGTCATTCCAATATATAAAACAACATTTTTAAGAACACATGTTTCACTTTTATCTGTAAACCAAAACAGAGACTCCATGACACAAAAACTGGGCCAAATGTTGATCTGTATCATAAATGGGGTGCTTTCAATTGCCATTTCTATATGTTACTAATGCATGTACATTGCTGTAAGTGTAAACCTAAAAGGAGATGATTATTAAATAGAATACCAAAATACCAGTTTGACTGAACCCCAAAGGTGGAATAAGATGTATGTGAAAGTATGTTAATATGTGGAGACTACAACAGTAATGAATAGGATAGAAAAGGAACCAAAACTCAATGACGAACCTTGAGGGAGACAATTTCTGCTGTATACTCTGAGGCTTGAGCACCATTTCCCCCCTCTTTATTGGATCCAAAAAAACCTCTCTGACTTGGCTTGTCATTGGCACTTCCTATTCCTGATTGTTCAGTTCTCAACTTGTCTAACAAGCCACGAAGCTCCTCGTTTTGTTTCAAACAATCTTTCACCTGCATGAGAATGATATTATACAAAGAGTGGAATGTGTATTCACCCTCAGATTACTCCTACATTATTCTTATTTAATTATAGAATGATAATTTCACCAAGACCACCTGAAGTTTCGGTCAGTAACAATTGGGATTCTCTGTTTGAAAAATTAAATTAAAAATGCCAAGGGCATTCATTTGCACTGCTTTCATAGTACAAAATTTTGAAATTTATACCCATATAATTTTTCTCCAATTCAATTTTAATCCCATCATACCATTTTTGGTAACACTGAGAAAGGGTTTTGTTTGGATTTTTTTACTGTAACTGTGAACACTCTTTCAATGCCATTGCACTCAAACACTTCATTTCTTGAAATATTTTTTTCCCTTTTCCATGAAAGATTTGGATTGTCAAAATAATTAATCCATTATTATTTAGTTATCTTGATGCTACATGTGTGTGTTGTGTTGAATCTTCCTGCCAGCATACTTCTATTTTTGAAGGCTAACACAAATAATATCTCATCAAACTAAAGTTCATGGAAACTGTTCAATATGCAACTGTTCATAATCAATTGAAATTAGGCCAGTATCTCATCAAACTAAAGTTCAATTTTAAAGAACGGTTTTTCCATAAAGGCAAAAATAACAATACAGATTTTCTATTATGTTTAATTGTTTTTTTTTTATTTTGTGGTTGAGAAGGCATCCAGGGGGTCTGAAACAAGGACGGGGTGTAACAGTAGAAAGCATAGGAAATCCATGTCAAATGTCACCATCCTAACTTTACATTGACAATTTGCAATGTTAAGGTGAGCATCAAGTCTCAAACTCTCTCCAGGAACAAATAAACTAAAGACTTCATAATTACCTTATTCTCCCAGTGCACTACCATTCCCATTGCTTCTTCATTTGCAGATGAGAGATTGGAATTTTCATCAAACAGTATCTCTATTTCTGAGGACTGGGAATCAATCTATAAAACAAGACCAGAAGGAAGTTAGTTCCTTATCTATGCTCTATGGGTTAAACATATAAAAAGATAATAGGACAAGGCATGTTACCTCCGCCAGCAGTTTCTGCCGGCTATTTTCCAATTTTTCAATAGCTACAGCCATATCATGCAATTGCTTCTCAAGTTTCTCTTTGTCTTTCTAAAAACATAACAAACATTTAACACAAAACACCCAAAACATAAATAATTAATTATCTCACTTGCAATAGCATGCACAATGAGACTTATCTAAGTTGTAATAAAAATAGTCATGGCTTTTGAAGGAGCCAGAAAGAGATAGAAATCAAAGTAAAATGTACAATTGCTATCGGAAAAAATTCTGATGATAAACAACGGAAGTAGAGCACATAATGCAGTGTCTAGGTAAAAAGGGATGCACGCAATCCATTATCAAACATGTAAAGCTAGTTATGAGAAGAAAAAAAATGCCAGATTTCCTCACCCTACAGTCTTTTCAACAGATTCGTATAAATGTTGAAAATAACTAGACCAATATTTTATAGCTACAATGTATAAAGCGAGAACCCTGGAGGAATCAGCATAAAATTAATGGCTTTTGGAATCAAATACAGTCATTTTTTTAACATCAATTATTAATCATCAGCACAAGGCATTTAACAATCATTTCTAAGCTTACAAACAATTAAAATGTCAGGGCAAATATTACCAACCAAAGATGTCATTATTTACCAATGAGAATGTGTTATCCGAAGCCTGTTGAGTGACATCCTCTGCAGTAATCAGATATGTCGTTAGTAACCTATAGCTAGGTACAAGGAAACTAAGTAGTGCTCTCAGAAGCAAAGATAAGCTGCATGAAGAATCCATCTTTTGATTCAAGTTATACTACATCTGGCTCTAAAAACAATTCCCATTTCCCAACAAGTGAGAACAAAAAATGCTAACAATACACACACACGTCACATAGAAAAGTGAAAGGAACCTGAAATAGCTACAACTCATTCACTGTTCAAATTATGACTTCTAAAAGCTGAAATTTAGTTCAAAAAAGTTCTTTACAGTATATCACAGTGAATTCCAATACCTGAAACCTTGTTTGAAAGAGCAGCAAGCTTCTCTTCTAAGTCCTGCTTTTCCGAACTAAGGGTAGTTGTCCGTGCTAGTTCCTCTACTAGCCGTTGTTGCTCTTGTTGTCTCAACAGAGACTCTTGCTGTTATTTTTTCCAACTGAGCGCAACTATTTTTCTTTTAGACAAATGTAAATAACACCAATGCTAAATCTGACCTCAAACAGAGATCTTAAATTGGCTAGCTCCTTTTCCATAGCTTGCATGTGATCAGGTGAAAACCCCATTAAGGTGGTGTCACTAGGTGGACCATTCATTGCTTGTCGCTGTAATGAGTTTAATTCTGCACGGAGTGCTGCTGCATCCTCCTCGGCCTAATACAAAAAATTAATTAGCATGCATAAAATTTGCTGCCCCTCTACTCTCATTTCACTGCTTTGCTAAGGGCACTGCTAGCATACCCGATATTGATCTTCTTCTGCCTCCTTCAACTGTTTCTTCAGTGTACGAAGCTGGGCTGACAGGTCCTCCTATAACAAATTAGAAACAGAACTCATACGTGTATAGAAACTACTGCATGATTAGGATTTGAAGGAAATGGTCAGATGATATGTACCCTTGCAACCACGGCTGCATCTTTTTCCATTGCTACATCCCTGAGTGCTTTTCGTAATGATGGTACAGTACTTTGCTCCTGCAAATTATAGAAGTCTCATGGCTGTCAAATAGATTCATCAACTGAAAATGTATAACAGGAACGTGTTGCACTTACCAGATCATTGAGACGCTTCTGGAATGTGTCATTCTCAGCTTCTACTGCCCGAAGCTGATAAATAAGGTAATGATAAAGTTGATCATAGAAAATAGATTAAACATGAAGAAGATTAAACTGCAATTAGCCCTCCCAAGATTAAAATAAAGTTCTATCATAGAAACAATGAATAACTTGACAAAGTACGAGAAATACTTAATACCTTTGAGAACAGAGTTTTATTTTCTTCTTCTAGATCAATGTTCTTCTTTTGTATGTGCTGTAATTGAGCAACTAAGCCTGTAATATCATTCTGCATTCAAATTTAAAAAGAAAAATAACAATAAAAGTTAATGAGTAGAACTACCATGAAAAATTATAACACAATGCTCACAACATACAAAGCTTAACTTCTTAACTGCAAGACACTACATCTCTGAACTTCAATGCAAAGATGATTTCTCAAACACAAAACAATTTAATCCATATATTAAGGATTGTAAACAAGTGCCAAAGTTAAAGAGAGACTTTTTCAGCAGACTAATCGATACTATTTATTAACTGCAGTAAAAAACATAAAGTCAATGGACATAATTTGAAAATGAGTCGAGTTCCATACCTCTGCAAGCCGATTTCCGCTCTCTGGTTTTCTTATCTCGGGAGCATCTGCACCAGAATGGTTTAAAAGAACAAAAGAAGCTAAGCTCATAAGAATGGACTATGAAGATAAAATTTCAAAAAATCACAAAACGAATACCGTTAGGGCTTGCAACAGCTATGGCGAGATCAGGTCCAGAGGACGTTTTGATCAATCTCTCTGCGGCTCTCTTCTGGCGAATTTCTTCTAGCTGATTTTTACATTTAAAAAATTACGACAAATTAGCAAAGAAAAAACATGTAAATTGACGGATAAGAAATCAGAATCCATGATTGCAAACAACGGAGATCCATACCGTTCTTCGACCTAGTGATGCATGACGAGAGTCCATCGCAGAGAGAAAATTTCTTCTAACGAATACGAATTCCTTAGAGAGAGAGGGAGATCGGCTGAATTTTTAACAGTCGTCGGTTAGCGAACATTGGCTCGCCGGGCGCGAAGATGATATCCAAGTTTGGGCTTCTTCACAAGTCATGTACTATATCGGATAATTGGTAGATAACAATAAGGCCCATAAACTGATCCATTTGATAGGCCCAGCTATTACTCATTGCAGCCCATTTTAGGGACTGGGACTCTGATGATGGCAAATTATTCTATAGACCTGGTCCCCAAATCCAAAGATACACAATTTATTTTTTAAAAATTTATAATTTGTGATGATCCTAATTCACAATTTAGGTAGAGTAGCACCTAACACATAGACAGCGCCTAGGTGGCCTAAGGGCGAAAACGCCACGATCTAGGGACGCCTAAACTAATTTTTGCAACAGTGTTATAAAGTATAATGTTGATTTTAGGGTTTTTGGGCCCAAGAAGGTCCAACGCAACCGTGGTTGGTGGATTCACCTTTCAAACAAAGCTATGAGGCTTTCAAGGGAAATGACTATAACTTCTTAGTATCTTCCTTCTATACTCTTTGAGCAATCTAATTTGGTTGCCTTTTACATTCTTCAAGGGCCATTTTTATAGGAGGTCACCCTTTGTTAATTTAAATGTACACATTGAGGTGTCATAATGTGGCTTTTTATACTTTAGAGGCTGTTGGGCTGCTGTTACAGGGCCTCCCAATAGCCTGTTTGACCGAGCTTTAAAGGGCTTTTTAAATGCCAACGTCTATCTTGCTGAGCCGACCTCTGCTCGTGCCGACCCTTCGCTCGCGCCGACCATTTGCTTACGCCGACCTCCTGGACTCGTCTACGTCTATCTCTGGACTTTTCTTCCTCTTCGTTGGGGCCGATCTTTTGCGGGCCCAATTTCCACCCCTTCCTATCTTCTTTCCTTTTCGGACCTTAAGCCCATTGGGTCTATATCCCATCATATAATTTAATTCAAACATAAATATAAGCACCAAATTTTCTTATTATTAGTATTATTTGCTCTAGTATTTCCAATCGTTATGCTGTGCATCCGGTTGCACCGTACTTGGTGCATCCGGATCCACACGACGTCGTTTAGGGAGTAACGGTGCCGTTAGTGGCACCGTTTCACTCCACCAATCAGATATTTTTTTTTTTTTAAATATAAAACAATGCTCCTTCGTTTCTTCTCCACTGCATTTCACTTCCCGCACTCCATTCCTTCTCCAACACGATACCCTCCGTAAACGCTTCAATCATCTCCATTTCCTTACCATTTCTTTAGCATTTTCTAGCTTTCAAACACACTCGTCGTCGCTATTGTCGCCGGCGTCCGATCATCGCGTATTCAACAGCGCTTTCTCTGTAAACCAGAGCTCATCATCATCCTATAACAGGTATAAATGCATTTTACGTTGATACATAATGCATTTATACAAAACAAGCATTCATTTTGAGTATATATTTATGAAATTTTAAACTAGGGTTTTATACTGTTTAATCTTGTATGAATGTATAGTTATTTGATTATTAACGTGTATGGTTATGATTATGGGTTTATGAGTATATTTATAAGTTTATGGAACTGTAGTTTTACAATTTTGGAAGTATAGTTGTACATTTATGGAATTGTAGACATACAGTTTTGGGTGTAGTACTCTGTTAACCTTACTCTGTGCACCAAACTGCATTCATGCCTTCTTAACATAATTTGCTTTGTGCGTATACTTATGGAATTGTAGTTTTACAATTTTGGAAATATAGTTGTGCGTTTATGGAATTGTAGTTATAGAGTTTTGGATGTAGTACTCTGTGAACCTTACTCTGTGCACCAAACTGCATCAATGCCTTTTTAGCATAATTTGCCTTGTAGGTATGCTTATGGAATTGTAATTGTACAATTTTGGAAGTATAATTGTGCGTTTATGGAATTATAGTTATACAGTTTTGGATGTATTACTCTGTGAACCTTACTCTGTGCACCAAATTGCATTCAAATCCTTTTTAGCATAACTTGCCTTGTGGTATACTTATGAGATTATGGAATTGTAGTTTTACAATTCTGGAAGTATAGTTGTGTGTTTATGGAATTGTAGTTATGAAGTTTTGGATATAGTACTCTGTTAACCTCACTTGATGTTTTTTATTTGCAGAAATGGATCAGTCAGGTGTGGCAGATGATTCTACACTTGGTCAATTTGTGAAGTCTGTAAAAAAGAGAACAACCAGAGCAGTATTGAGCTCACAAGCTGCTGAACTCACCCCTGCCCAGGAAGATCAAGCAGAGCCTTCGACAAGGCAACAACCAGCAGCTGTAAAAAGAAAGAGGGCACCACCACAAAAGCGAGAGAGAGTACGGGACCCTGATGTGAACTACTTCAGTACACGAATGGGTCTCAAGCAAATGTATGACCTTGTCCAGCGTCTAACACATGACCAAAAGGATGCTGTGATTGATATGGGTTTTGGAGGGCTGCTGCACCTACAATTTTCAAGCAATTACTCACAACTTGTTGAGTATCTCCTGCAAAGGTTTGATGTTTTCAAATCAGACTTCATATTGGATGGTGACCATCTACATGTCGGTGAAGAGGATGTTGAATACATCTTGGGACTCCCCCGGGGGAAGAGAGATGTTGAGGAAGGTACAAAGAGTGAGGAAAATTCTACAGCTGCATATAATAAGGTCCTGACTGAGTGGAGGAAAAGATGGAATGTCAGGTCAGGGTCACCCATAACAACAAAGATGCCTGATGAAATAATCAGGAGAGGTGACCATGGAGATGCCTTCAAGAGAGACTTTGTGGTGTTTGCTGTCTCATCTCTGCTCCGGGGAAATACTGGAAGATATGCCAACTATCGAGTTATCAAGTCATTGCTCAACATCCGGTCAATCTCAAGACTTAATTGGTGCAAGTACACGTACAATTCTTTAATTGATTCGTATGACATTTACAAAGACTCTCCTACCAGATCCTTTGGAGGTCCAATGGTATTCATCCTGGTAATATCCCATTATACATAAAATGTTCTAATTATGTAATTATATTCATGCAATTATGGAATCATAGATATGCAATTCTGTATGTGTGGTTATGCCCTTATGGATGTGTAGTTTTGTAATTGTGGAATTGTGGTTTTCCAATTATGGAATAATAGTTTTACAATTATGGAATTATAGTTAATCAATTATAGATGTGTAGTTTATGGATTATGGAATTATAGTCATCCAATTATGGAATTATAGTTATGCAATTATGGAATTATAGATATGCAATTCTGGATATCTAGTTTTATAATTATGGAATTATAGTTATGCAATTATGGAATTATAGATATGCAATTCTGAATATGTAGTTATTCAATTCCTTAACATACTCTTCTGTACTTCTTGAAGCTCTTCTACTTTGACCGAGTACAGTTCAGAGGCATGACCGTCAACCGCACATTCCCAGCAATAAAAGCTTGGACAAAAAGCCTTGTACGCAAGCGAGTATCGGCTGAGATAAAATCAGGGGGTTTTGGTAAGGGCAAAGTTATCCCTCGATTTCAGAGACCTACTGCCATTGCATCTACATCATCACCCCGACCTGCACCTCCTCCTGCTGCAATACCAAGGCCAGTGTCCAGCCCTGCTGCTACACCAACTATTCCAGCTCCATCTGTGCCTCTGACAAATGTTGACCGAGTAACAAATGTGCTTCAACGGCTTACAGTAGATGTCCTTGAGTTCGGTCAGGTCATGTCTGACATTGGCAAGCAAGGGGCCCCGGTTGAAATCATGAAGAGGGCTTTTTCAGGAATATCAACAATGCTGAGTGCTGCAAGCACAATTCAACCGACTCCTAGCCCAACTGCCTCGCAATTGGATGACATCTTCTTCGGAAGTGAGAGCTTCACATCAGCAGTTGATTCTCTGGTAGCAGCTTTTGAAAAAACAAGAAAGGAAATGGAAATAGAAGTCCCATCATTTGAGCTACTTGGACGCTCTACACCAACCCCACCACCATCTCAACAGCAGCCTTTGGACACCTTGGTGGATAACATTGTGAGGAGTGCAGGAGTATCAACCTCAACAGAGAAGGAAGCAACTCCATTACTAATCAGAGTGCCATTCGAAAAGTCCACCACTCCTACTACCCCTGCTGCCCAAACTGTTGCTGAGATTGATGAATTTGATAAGTAGGTTACTGCTTTCTTATGCAGATTTAGACTATAAATATGGTTTTCAATTCATCAATAATTATGAATATTAAGTTTGATTAATATGAATATATTCTTATTCAACTAGTGACGTTGATTTCTTTACAATTATGGATATGTATTTCTCAAATTATGGACATATAGTTTATAGATTATAGAAATGTAGTTATACAATTCTGGAATTATACTTGTGGGGTTATGAACTGCCTCTGTTTTTTTCTGGACAACAGGGCTATGGATGAAAGTGAATCTGATGTTGAGGATGTTACTGTGAGAAAGAGACCTGTGCGCAAATTCAGGAACATCCCGCTTCATTTGAGGTCACCATATTGGAATAAGAACAAAGGCTCCATCAATAATGCAACTCCCAAAGAAAAGGTTTTTTCAAACTACGCATTTTTGGAAGCCTCAAGTGAGCACCCGGGAGGGTATGTTTCCATCCACCAATTTTACTTAAATTTTATTCATTAATTTATGTTCTTATATTTATTTATTTACTGTATTGTAGAGAGACATTGTTCAAATATGGTGATTACTACTTCACAAGGGATGATTTTGCAACTATGTGCAACGGTGAGCTACTGAGCAGCTTCCTAGATGTCTGGTCCCTACGTTTTACATTGCTGAACATGCCCCGTGCGGTTGGGGAGACAAAGCGGGTCTACTTCTCCACCCTAGTACATGTAAGTGTTCACAAATTATGAATATATAGTTTTTAGATTATGGATATGTAGTTATTCAGTTCTGGATGTGTACCTGTGAACCCCTGGTTTTATAATTTTGTAATTCTGGAATTATAGTTATGCAATTATAGAACTATACTTATGCAATTATGGAATTGGTTATATGCAATTATGGAATTATTGATATGAAATTATGGAATTATAGTTATCCAATTATGGAACTATAGTTGTACAATTCTGGAAATGTATATATATATAACTCTGTATGTATAACTTTAACATTTTCAACAAATATTATTTGGATTATGACTACTCATTCCTGCATTTGTATGTGTAGCTTCAAATTGATCCCAATGATCAGTGGATGAAGGATCTCCCAACTCACATAAAAATGAAGAATTTCAATGAGAGATTGAGCTATGAAATAACCAGCTTCGGGAACCTAGACATCAGTGATGTAGATCTGGTAAGTTCTATTACCCATGTCCAATTTGACTTTATCATGTCCAAAAAAATACTAACATTGCTTTAACTTTGAATTGGAATTAGATATTTTTCGCAGTTCATCGCCATGGTCACTACTTCTTGGTCTGCTTCAATGTGAAAGAACATAAAGTACAGGTCATTGACAACAAGGAGTTACCAGCTGGTGTTTCGGAGAAGGACAAATATGGCAACTGCCCACACTTATTGGTAATTTTGATAAAAAAAAACTTGACATTCTTACCATTACCTATCTATTGACATAAAAGCATTATCAACACTAAACTAACTTTTCTGACCAGATTGAAGCATTCAGTGGTTACCTTAAGGCCGAGTGCCACTCCTTGTATGTGAAATTGCAAAAAGTTGATATAAAGTACCTTAAGTTGGACTGGGCAAACACTGAAAACGTCACTGATTGCGGGATCTATGTACTCCGTCATATGGAGACATTCCGAGGGACTCTACAAGACTGGCAGCCAGGATTCAAGAAAAATATGCGCTTGAATGTAAGACTACCATACATATTATAGTTTCAAAATACATTAAAAAATAAATAAAACTGCGAATGACTAATTACTTAATGTTCTTTGTTTATAGGCAAGCTTCATGTGTGAATTGCGAGCGAAATATGTTGCGAACCTCATAAAGTGGAGAATGAATGAAGTCAGGGGGGAGGTTCTGCAAGCGGCCAAAAGAGTTTCGAAGAAGAATTGAATGAATATTCTTCAACATGTTGACTGAATTCTAAACAATTAGAAAGTTTTTGTGAACTACATTGACAATGTGACTTGTATTTTGTGAATGTAGATGCATGATGTTAATAGCTAAATAACAATTTACATCTGATCTATGCACCTCTTTCTCTTTTCTCTTCTTTTCTTTTCTTTACTTTTTTTTTTTTTTGTTTTTGTTTTCATGTATCAAATCTATAATTGCATGACTACTATAAATCCAGAATTGCAAAACTATAGTTCCATAATTGCATAACTATAATTCCATAATTTCATAATTATAATTCCATAATTGTATATAAACAATTCCACAATTGCATAACTATAGTTCCATAATTGCGTAACAATAATACCATAATTGCAAAACTATACATCCATACTTGCATAACTATACACCACAATTTCATAACTACAAATTCCATCACAATGGGGACTACACATGCATAAATGCATAACTATATTTTCATAATTGAATGACTATAATTTCATAATTGCATACCTTTCATAATTGCATGACTACAATTCCATAATTGTATAACTATAATTCCATAATTTCATAACTACAGTTCCAAAATTGCAAAACTACATATCCAGAATTACAAAACTAAAACTGTATAATTGCATAAAATCAATGATAACAACTTGTATTTCTCAATCTACACCTACATTGTCATCTAAACCCTTACTAAACTGAACAAAATCTGAACTTGAAGAACTTGGATGTACAAGGTATCCATCCCCAGCAAGCTTGGATATGTTTTCCAACACCAAAGACTGAACAACACCCTTTGTACTCAATGCAGCTTTATTTGCAGCACTCCTTCTCCCCCTTGCAAGACTGTACTTCTTTTCAATAACACCACTCCTCCGTTTGTTACGCTCACCTTTCAATCTCCGACTTGAAGGATTTTGAACACCACCACTTGAAGATGAAACACCACACTCTTCAATATGCACATGCCCAACCTCGGCTTCAACCTTTTTCTTTACATCATCAACAGCCTCGTCACACAGTTTCCTCGCTACGCTGCTATCTTGACTAGACACAACTAATCTTTGAAATTTTCTACTAATATCGAACACCCAAATTGATGGAGGAACACCAACATTATAAACCATAGAATCAATGTTGACATTCCTACCATCAATAACCTTTTTAGTCCATCTTTTAAGTATATATTTGTCGGGAATACTAGAAACACAATGTACGTGAAGAATGCGTATACAATGACAACATAGAATTCCCAACTCAGACATCAACTTGCAACTACAAGAAATGTCCAAGTTGGCTGCGTTAAAACTAACCTCATGCCTTATAATATCTATATCTGGCCGCCACACGTGATACTTCTGTTGACGGCCATCATTCAACACCATCTCTTGATGACACGCACTGCCTTTCATGAATTGTTCCTCAAACAGAAAATATATCTCAATCGTGTATACCTCTCTAGCATGTGAAAGAAGTTTCACATGCTCCATCATCATAGCGGGTACCCCTTGAGCACACCGAAAGTCTTCACCGTTCTCTTTACTTCTCCATTCAGAAATTACGCTTACAAACGATGAATAGAAATCACAAAGACCCGCTGTCTTGGACAACCTTCTAGAAATCGAATGATTTGTAGTTTCACTCCTTTGTGATGATAGAATGCCCCCAGAAAAATAGTCCTTGTTAAATGCTGGACACCACTTCTCCCTACAGTCATATAGCTTTTCTAACCAAGTATTCTTGTGACATTTATAGTCAGTCACCAACCTGAAAATGGTAAGACAAAATCCCAAATGATTATGAAGCAGAATATTAACAAGCAACATCACCACATCTAACACATACTCAGAATTTCTATTGCTCTATATACATAATTGGAATACTATATGTCCATAATTGATAGACTATATATCCATAATCCATACTACTACATTTCCAGACACCACCAGTAAGTTCAACTGCTATATATCCATAATCGGTATACTATATATCCATAATCGGAATACTATATATCCATAATCCATATACTACATTTCCAGACACCACCACTGCTATATATCCATAATCGAAATACTATATATCCATAATTGATGCACTATACATCCATAATTACAAACGTAATGCAATAAAAACGATTAATTACTAACATACCTTGTCCAATAGAATTGAAATTCAGCTTCGGTCTCTGTGTATTTCAACACGTAGTTAAACATATCCAAGAAATCCTTATTGCTCCTTAACGTCTTGATATGCTTCTTTGAATTCTCACCGATATGCCATATGCAAAGACGATGAGTGATGTTGGAAACACTTTAGATATAGCAGCAGCCATAGCTGCACATTGATCTGTCATAATAGTCTGTGGAGACTTGCCACCCATTGATCTTGAAAACACTTTAAACAACCACACAAACGATTCTATCCTCTCGTTCATCAAAAACCCGCATCCAAACATTACATTCATGCAATGGTGATTCATCCCTACGAAAGGGGCACAAATCATATCGTATTTGTTTGTGCGATATGTCGTATCATGCACTAACAAGTCCCCAAACACCTCGTAATCTCGTCTCATTTGACCATCCCTCCAAAAAAACTGCACAACCTTGCATCCAAGTCAAGTTCAAAATCAAAGAAAAAATCAGTCTCGGTAGACTGCCTCCTCCTAAAAATTTCAATTAAAGAGTTAGAATCCGTTCCATCTAATCGCTTGACAGTATCCGCAGCCATTGAATTATAAGCATCTCTACTGGTGAAACCAACTAAAGGGGACCCCCCCGATTGGTGTTTTAGGAACCTAATACCATCTGCCAATGCAACACCACTGTCCTTCAAACCTTGTAAATATAAGAGCTGATTATCTCCGACACTCCTATGTGAACGAAGTAGATGACTCTTGTTGAACACACATAACTCGTGATTGTGCACTTTCTCGTGTTTCGTAACTGTCCACAACCCATCATCACCCACGTCAAATTGAACAAACGCTCCACACCCTGTCCTTGTGTCAATTTTGGAATAAGCCTTAACCCCACTGTTAGCCTTGTAACCAGCCTTAGAACAACAAAATTTCTTCATTTGAATTGTGTTCGAAGATCCCTTGTATCGTTGATGACCCTTCCTCACACTAAAACCAAGTCTATATGCATAACTGTTATACACCTCAAAAGCCTCATCAGCATTACTTACTACCAAACCAACCAAATCTTGATCAACTGCAAATATAACACAATAATAACCATTTTCATTAACACATAATTCCTAACCATAATTTGCTAATTAAAAGGTAAACCACTATGAATAAACCTGGAATTGATGAAGATCCATCAACATCTACATCTACTTGATCTGAACTCACTGAACCATCCACAATGCCTTCACTAACTACATTATATAGACATGGTGAACATTAATTCAAACAGTTCATCAAACAGAAAAAACAGAGTGTCTACAGATTCTGTATATATAGTTATATGATTATGGAAATATAGTTATACAATTCTGGATACACAGTCGCAACAAACTGCCAAAACAGAGTACCCCTAATTCTGAATATATAGACATGCAATTCTGGAAATATAGTTATGAAATTATGGAATTATTGTTTTCAAATTCTGAAATTGTTGTTACACAATTATGGAAATTACTTACGTGATTTTGCACAACTATTTGCAGATTCTAGATACAAACATCACTGCTAATCACATAATCATACAAAAAACCAAAATGAACGATTGCAAAAACAATAACAAGATCACCTTGAATCGAATGCCAATCATCAACTGCGAAATTCGTCTGCTCTGTTCCATCCTCCATCTATCAATCACTTTGTAATTCCCGATTTCGATTTGCGATTGCTATTTGCGAATGCGATTGAGATTGCGATCGCGATTCCGGTGATATCGAATGCCAATACCACAACGAACAACTGCCAACGATCGAGTTTGAAACTTGGAAACAAACTCAAAAGGAATTTGGAAGTAAACGCCGTTAACGGAATTTTTTTTTTTTTATTTATAAAACCCCGCGTCATTAGGTTAAAACGACGTCGTGTGGATCTGTATGCACCATGCATGGTGCATACAGATCCACAGCATAATATTGCGATTCTTTAGTCCGAGGTTTATCAACACCGTAATATTTCCGCAACCCAATAAACAGAATCAATCCTAGCTTTAATGCAATTATGCAAATATTCCCAATAAGACGAGAATGTCTCTGTCAAATTGTGTTACAATTTAACAAGAAGGAAATAAATTAAAGTAAACACGAGTAATATTAATTAATCAGATCGTGTCTACAGTCTACTGCATGAAAACAGGTTGAAACCACGTCGACCCCATGTGCCTACGTATATATGCGCGTCCCCGGATTATCCTCACTTTAATCAATTATTTGTGTCCACCTTTTTTATCACCGAAACATGTGATAATCATTCATGGACAGCCATTTCCTTTTGCTTTTGCTTTTTATTTGTTTTTTTTTTTTAATATATCAATACTACACTAATTTTAAGCCATCGATCTCTTGTACAATAACCATTAAAAAATGTAAATTACAAGTATCTTAAGTTCCTACCCTTACACTCTACACTCTGCGTCTCTGCATGACTGTATACCTGGCCCATTAAAATTAGAATTTTTACACTGAAAGAAGACTTTAAGCTGATAGGTCTTACTATTATTTGTATACCAATTTTCATCTCTTCTAATTAATTAAGGCCTCTCCCAATAATCCCATATTCTTACTAGAATTTGAAACCCACACTACCATTAGATTAATACCTTAACGTGATCCGCCTAACTACTCGTTTCGAAGGTTTTGGTCCATGCATTTATCAGCGCCACTGATCTCGCAGGTAGATTCCTCGTTAGGTGAAATTAAGAAGCAAAAACAAGACACTGGTACGATGAAAGTAACAGGATGTGACCCTGAAAAGAACGGAATATAACGGAGATATATACAGGAGAAAATTCCTTAATCATTTTCACTTAATCACCAAGCAAAGACTGCGGTCACTGTTAACACAACATTATTGAGGTCCTACCCTGGTATAAAACGAGCGACGAGTGAACCGGTGAGATATAGAGATGGGAATGGAGGGCAAGAAATTCTGTTTCTGCATCCCACGTGGGAAGAAAACCAAGGCCGCCAAAGACGATTCGGAGACTCCGATGTCCAGTAGCGGCGGCAAGAATGAGCAAACCGGTGGTCACGGTAATCATGTCAGCAACCATGACGGGGTTGCAACCCACGACGCCGGCATGGCCGCGGCGATGATGGCATCTAGCCACGTGTCTCAGATGGAGGGCATCGGCGCCGCTGAGGGTAGTTCGCACGGCGGCGCCGGACATGGAGGCGGTGAGGGTGGTGGAGGTGAATAGGCCGGAGATCTACGGTCCTGTTTGAGTATTTGGTTTTGGATTGTCTTGCCTTTGTTGATATTGTTTCCTGCTTCCACTTTCTGGGATATTTAATATTTTGAATATTTGCTTATTTAATAATTTAATATATGATATGATAATTTGTGTATGATTTTAGTAGTATTGATGCACTTCCTTCGATTCTTGATGTGATAAATGCGTATGATCAATTAATTTCATTGTTATTTTTTATTCATTACATAGGGATCCAATTCTTAAGGGATACAAATTTAGTAATTACTTACACAATTAAAATGTATATACTAAAATTAAGCACAAAAATAAATTGTACTAAAAATACCTTATACTATGAGTTTAATCATAAAGGTGCTGGATTTGATCAACGGTGCAACTATATCTAGGCCTTAGAGTTGGGGTTAAGATTGATCTTGACCAAGGGTGCAACTATGACTAGGCATGAGAGTTAAGAGTTGGGACTTGAGATCTATTAACAATACTAATCAACATAATATGGTTATTATATTGTAGTTGTATTATATTGACGACATAAAAACTTGAAGAATATCACAACTAATATATATAGCAACTATAATTTTGGTAGAGTATAACTATTATCAATGTAGGTTACTTAAATGGAGCAAACCATTTGACCCGTACCTTACCACTTAGTGTGCTGACGGTAGAGACGAGAGATTAGCCGATTAATCTTCTGGCTATCGGCCGGAGGGATACCTTTGGACAACCAAAAAAAAAAATGTAGGTTACTTAAAATATAATGTAAGTTGCTAATTATACACTAAAGAAGTTTGTTTCCTTCCCTGTGACTAAGCAAAGTAATATGTTATTTAGTATAATTGCATCATTTTAAGTTGTTCGATGGCTTAATTGCAACTTTTTTAGTTCAGTGGTCCAATTGTCTTTTCGTGTATAATTCAATGGCTTATTTGAATCCTATTATTAGGCCAATTGCATCTCTCCCACTTAATTATTACTCATTTAGAGCTCGTTTGGTTCGCTAGAAAATATTTGAAGATGAATGAAATTAAAGTTCCATGGAAAATAAAGTATCAGGAAAATAGATTCCATTGTTTGGTTGGTGTGAAAGAAATTATTGAGAATAAATATGAATTCCATTGTTTGGTTGGAAATTATGAATATAAAGACTAATATGCCCTTTACAATAATAATGATAATAAATTAATCATAAATATCAGCTATGTAATTAAAAACTTTTATGAGGATATAATTGTCCAACCATGTTATCTTTACTTCCCATGTCATATGGAAAACAAAACACCACCATTTTGCTAAGAATTTGTTTTCCTCAACTTTAAGGAATTGCTTTTACAATAGAAAATGTTTTTCATCCAACTAAACAACATAAAACAAAATTTTTCTCCACTGTTATGAAAAATTGTCAAATAAGCCCCTAAACTTTATTTGAAAAGTCAGTTAGGTCTCTAAACTTTTAAAAAGTGCAATTGCACCATTTGACATGTCAAATTGAGGAACTGCAACCCAAGAATCGGTAAATGACTTGTTATTACAGGTCATTTCAATTCAGACATCAGTCTGGCGAAAATTCGGCGACCAGTGGTCCAACCTTTTCACAACCTTAACTTTTATGATAAGATCAGATCGACATGGTTCCTAGTACCTAGAATGAGCTACCCTTGAACGAAAACGACTAACCGGAGGTGGTTTTGTACCATATCTTGAATGAAGCCAGCACACTAAACTCTAGCCCCTTTTTGCAGCCCAGAAGCAGAGGAGTCGCCCAGCAGAGCATCCTCCACCCAACGTAGTCGATAACCAAGAAGCATTATAGGGGTGTGCATGCGGTGGCCGTGGCTGTGGCGGAAATTCGCGACTAGGCGATGCAAGGTGCTAGGGTGTGGCTGGGCATGTTTGACACGACGGAAAAAGCAACATTGACTTATGACCGGGCGACTTTTCAAATGCGCGGCGCAAGGGCACTCCTCAACTTCTCAGCCCACTTGGTGAAAGCCCCGATGTCGTATGTGCTTAGAGTGCACTATCCATCCAACAGTTACAGCAACGAAGCTTCGAGTAGCGGTATGGTGAATTCAAATAAATAAAGAATTCTGGTCGCCGTCATCGAAAAAGGCGGCCTTTTGGTCGATGATGATGTTTTCCGGTAAGATTTATCCGGCCAACGGCAAAAAATATAGTTAATAGTGTAATTTTACCGGTAACTAATGACTTATTTGACCAAAATTAACATTTTTGAAGGTTTAATTACACTTTCTAAAAATTTAGGTGCCTAATTAACTTTTAGTGCAAGGTTTAGGAACCTATTTGACCCTTTTCCCAAAATAATTTCCATCCAACCAAACAGCCCCTTAATTCAACTTGTTTGCAATTAGAGTAGATCCCGCTTCAATTGTTTCAATCACAGTTTAACCCATGGCCGGTATTCTAAATAGTACTTTAGTGATTGCTACAACTATTCTATTTTAACTATTTTTCCCAAATGTATAGTAAACGAATTTGTAGTGCTTTTATTTATGCATTGCAAACTTCACATTGCAGTGTGCTTAATGTTTGTCTCTTAAGTTGTATATACACAAATTATTAAAGAGAACTGTTCTAACTATTTTTTTAAAAAAATGTCAATTAAATAAGGTATATTTTGTAACTACTTTAACTATACATTATCTGTGACAAAAAGATAAGGTATAATTAAAGTAGTTACAAAATATTTAACTGGAGGGGTAAAAAATGAACATAAACAAAGCAATTGAGGCAAAATAATTTTTTCAAGGAATAAGGTTGAAATTGACCACTGAACGTAACCTGAAAATGCAATTAGGCCACTGAACGAAAAAAAAGTGCAATTAGACCACTGAACACTCCAAAAACGTGCAATTAAGCCACTGAACTCTCCAAACGTATGCAATTTCACCGGATAGCAGGTTACCATCAATTTTAGCAGGTTACTTGCTTACGTGGCAGCTGAGTTGGCATTTTTAATAATTTTTAAATAATTTTTAATAATTAATTTTAATAATAAATTTTATAAAAAATTGAAAAAAATAAATAATAAATAAAATAAAGTCATTTTTATTTTTTAAAAATTTTTTTAAATAAAAATTTATTATTAAAATTTATTAAAAAATATTTAAAATTTATTAAAAATGACAACTCAGCTGCCACTTAAGCAGATAACCTGCTAAAATTGAGGGTAACCTGCTGTCAGGTGAAATTGCACATTTTTGGAGTGTTCAGTGGCCTAATTGCACATTTTTTTCGTTCAGTGGCCTAATTGCATTTTCAGGTTACGTTCAGTGGCCAATTTGAACCTTATTCCTTTTTTCAATTTAATCGTTATTGCTTTAATTGGTTCAATAATCTTATTGTTAATGGTATAACCCTATAACTAGAACCCACTTAGAGATCCAACTTACATTT